CTATCTAAAAAAAAATTTCAAATATTTTAACGAAAATTTTTTTGATGCAATCTTTAAAATTACGATATATATATATATATATATATATATATATATATATATATATATATATATATATATATATATATATATATATATATATATATATATATATATATATATATATATATATATATATATATATATATATATATGTGAAATTAAAACCAAAATTTTGTTTAAGCAAAATTAATTCTATTAATTTTGGAGGGCAAGAAACCTTTTGGCAATTTTAGTAAGGCTTGTCCACTACAAAATTTTTTTGTAGTTTTTCCAATTATCGCAGTTATGCAACCATAGTTTATATCTACCTCATTCATTGGTCAATTTCATTTGTTTGATTGGTTGTTCTTTTTATTTGTTTAGTTGCTCAACCATTTTTATTTGTGTTTTTGGAATTTTTTTTTTTATTGTTTATCTTTTGCTTTTATTTTGTGATTTTTATGATTTTTTTATGATTTTTAAAGAATAAAAAAATATAACAATGTTGCATTGTTTTTATTTTTATTATTTTATTTTTTTATTATTTATCATTACTAACAATTTATATTCATTATTTAATAACCTCCCTTCTCTTTTTCCAAATTTTCAAAACAAAGTATGAAATACAATATATTTTTATTTATCATTGTCAATAGAATTTATTTTTGTCTGAAATGTGTCTTGAATAAATTGGTCTTTTAAAAATTAAAGCAAGCAGATTTTTCAAACTAAATTTGCAGAAGATAAATATAATATAAAAAAAATATGCATAAAATTAATATTTTAATTTTTTTTTATATGTTATATATCTCCCTCAGCAACCACAAATACCTGGTTCAATTCATCATTCCTGACCACTTCAGATATTTACATTGTTTATTTACAAAACAGAGCTGTATAAGGTGGTGGACTATTTATGCTAGAAACCGTATTTTTTTTTTCAATGTTTTTAATATATTTACTGACAGTGAGCAACTAGAATCAAAAGTTTGAGCAAATATATATATATATATATATATATATATATATATATATATATATATATATATATATATATATATATATATATATATAAATCATCATCATCATCATCATCATCATCATCATCATCATATTTGTTTTAAGTTGCTTTCACCACAGCTAATGAGCCTCACTTAATTCAATTTTTTTAAATATAGGGTAGTATTTTTAAATTTAAGCTACTGTTTTTAACATAGGGTGTTATTTTTATGAACTTGAGCATGAGGATGAGCAATCTAAAGGAAATCCAAATGAAGTAGATATAGTTAAAGAACATGTTGAGAATCTCTTGTTTGCTGGTGTTAATCCTAAAGATATTGGTATTATAACACCTTATAACTTACAGGTTCACTTAAAATTTATATTTTTTTAAATTGAAAATAAATTAAATGTATATGTGTGTGTATGTGTGTGTATGTGCATGTATATATATTATATATAATTCAGTATGATATATTTTTTTATTATTTTTATATAAATTGTTTTTATGTTTGTTATTTAAATTAAAATAAGAGCATTAAATAAAAATAATTTGAAAAAATAAAAAAAATACTTTGGCTCTATTAATTTTAATTTCAAATCACAAGTTAAAACAAAGATCTAAATTTAGAATGCAGATATGCATTCTAAATTTAGTTCAAAGCAATGAGAGTTCGAGATGAAACTAAAACATTAAAAATCTATGAATTCATGATTACCGAATTTTTTTCTGAACTTAGCATTACCTTGCTATTTATTAGCTTTATGCTCCAAGTTTGATTCTCATTAAAAAATACACATTTTCATACCTCTGTATTTTCTAGATTTTGCGATATTCTAGGTTTTATATTTCATATATTTCTCATATTTTCTTGATAATTTACTGTCATTTAAGTCTTGTCATTATCTCTGCTTTTTAATAACTTCCAATTTAAGTAGTTGTTGCCTGCAACCTTTTTTAGATTTATTCAAAAAATAAATAAAATAAAATTTATATAGCATATGTTTTAACTATTTTTTATATTATATGTTCAACTAGATTTATCCTAAAAGGAAGGGCGGGGGTGGTGAGCACCAGTGCTAGCATAGACAATAATTTTCTTTCTAAGGAAAATTTCCAAAATTCCAGAACAATAAGAGTAGCAGTGTTTTGAGTTTTAAGGTTAATATGAAAAAGAATCAAAAAAAAAAAATTATAATGAATTTTTTGCCATTATTTTTGTTTTATAAATGTACATACTGCATACAACCAAGCTCTGATATATATTAGTTGATATATATGCTGAAGCCTTTATGGATATTAGAAAACTTATAAATTTTTAATTTTACTTTAGAATAACTTTTTATTAATTTCAGGTTGAACTTTTGCGACAAAGTATAAATCAAATAAACTCTCAAATAGAGATTAATTCAGTTGATGGTTTCCAAGGAAGAGAAAAGGAAGCAATTTTAATTTCAATGGTCAGATCTAATGATGGTGGTATGAATCTTTTCTGTATATATGTATTTATTATTATCTACATGCAAATGTGGAGTAATATGATGTAACATTTACATATCAACACATAAAGAAATATATATTAAAATAGACTAACAAATTTATATTTGCAATGGTAACAAAGCTTTATAGATTAATAACAAAGAGTTGCTTTAAATGTTGGCGCAGTGGTTAGAGTTGTGGCTCTGAACCCAGAGGTCCATGGTTCGACGCCTGCTCAAGCCCAATAAGCGACATTAGTAATAAAGGAGGGGCGCTCTGTGATAAGATAGATAAAAACTACAAAAAAAAAAAAAAAAAAAAACTACGACAGTAATATGTGTTTGTCAATACAGTCCTTGAAATTATTTCATGTTTTTGACTCGATTAAACAGTTGCTATTCTTCAAATCTATTTTTTTTTTTACTCGATTGCTGTGCTATTAAGACTGCTCCAAGAGTTAACAGTTGCAATTAACAATTAAGGCGGTATGCAGCACATTCTTAGGTTTATGGCACATCTATCTTGTAGTACATACATGTACAATACACTTGTTAAAAAGTACAATGAGAAACAAAAGAACTGGTAATAATATAAAAAACTAAACTGAAAGTGTCATTTTTACATGGCTCATTTGTTTGTTAATGCATATATAGGCAACTATCATATGGAATTTTTGTAAAAATGTGATTTGTGTCTCTCCTATAGTGTTCAGTTATGGATGATGAACAGTCTTCAATGTAATGAGGTTATTAACTAAGCAACAATATGTTTCTAAATAAAAATATGTTTCAATAACTGTTTCTAAGCATGCACAGGATGTGCATGTTTAGAAACAGCTATATAATAATCTGTTAGGATATTTTATCTATAATAATCTATTAGGATATTTTAGAAAAAAAACTGTAAGTTTTTCAGTAAAGTACCATTAATATGGTTACCTATTAAATTCCTTTTTGCATTTTTCTCTTTTTTTTCTTTTTTTTTTTTTTTGTGCTTATTCTTACAATATTTTGTAAGAATAAATGATCACAAAAATGAAGGGATTTTTTTTTATTTTATCAATTTTATGCATAATTTTAAACATTTCTATCAGGTCTCCTCTTTGTCTCCTTTCCACTAGTGTAGTTAGATTTTATGCTTTGAGTCTTTTTTCATAGGAAAGAAATTAGATTGATGATACCAGTTTATTAACATTGTACTGAATTCTTTTCATATTGTCACAATCTGATTTTAGAAAGAGAGTCAAAAGGGTAACTGCAAAGTCTAGTAATATTGTTAATATTGTATATTGTTTGGTGAAATATTATAATTAATATACAATATTAATTATAATATTTCACCAAATTATTAAATTCACTAAATTATAAATATTATAATTTTATTTTAGCAAGTTATAAGTATTATAATTAATAGTAATACAATAGTAAGATATAATATAATAGTATTAATAATAAAATAATGGTAATATTAAAATAGCTTCTTAATACTCAAATATTATAATTAAAATTATTAATATCAAAGCAAAAAAAGTACAAAACCTTGTGGTACACCACTGAAAACCATAAACAAGCAAAAAAATAGTTTTGCCTTGAACAACTCTTTGTTTTTGCTTTCCAGGAAAGCCTTAATCCATTTAAAACTCAGAGAATCAAAGCCGTATGATGTCAGTTTTGCTTACAAACTTTTGTGTGAAGCAGAAAAAAACATTAACTGGAATACCGAAATCTACATTTGATGAAATATAATCATATATATATGATTATATATGTGATTATATATGAAGGCCTCAACGGAAGAACGATCAGAGTCACAAATTTGATTTTTTTGAGTTATTACCCTTTTATTGTAGCCCTGGGCACATACTTTGTCTGCCTGAAGTGAATAATTAAAAAACGATTGGAGCCTTATTGGAATTTTAAAAAACACCACACATTGGCAGGACGATCAGAGTCCAATGTTTACAGCAACAAACCGATCAAGCTAGTTATTAGCTGGCTTTTTTTCTATCACATGAAATGTTCAAGCCAATCCCACGCTGTTTTTATTAGATGTCTGCTTTAAAGATGGCAGAAAGCACCACTGATTGCTCAATCATTAGTGACAAACCAAAGAAAAGGAAAAAGAATTTTTCTCATAAAGAACAGATAAAATTTCAACGCATATCAAGTCATGAGAGAGGGGAAGATTAAAAGTGCAAGATGAAATAATTTGAAGCAATTACTGACGAAAAATGAAAAAGACGTTCTACTCAATTAATTTAATTAGTAGCAAAGATGCGCAAGACTCGCACCTTGCTTTCTTTGTTCAGGTAAAGAATTCTTTTTCTACCAATCTCGAACAACAATAAGTAATACAAGACCTTCGGTTATTGTTCCATTGCATAATAAATCGACTTTAGCATTTGTCAGTCTTTTTTTCTAAAATGCTGTACTAAACTAGAAATTCTATTCGAGCCATGCAAAAAATGTTGAACTGTGTTGGCTCTCTCTCCCTCTCTCTCTTTAAAATGCTTTTCATGCTTAGAATAAGAAAAAGGTTGGCCAGTATTTTTGTTCAAAAGAAATTTCTTGAGTAATTTAACATTAAACTTTGTTATGTAAGTCAAATTATCTTAGATGTGTGTGGAGCATTCTCAGCTGTTTTGTTGATTCCTTTATGTGTATTAGGTCAGGGTAAAAATATGTATAGGATAGAAAGTTCTTTTGTTTCTTTTTGGGAAGTTTATTATATAATACAGCAGCACTAGCATATCTTCCATGTTCATATATATATATATATATATATGAACATATAGATTATGAATATTCTAGGATCCTGTAAAATAGTGTAAATTTAGGATCAATAATCAACACAGGCACATTCCATCTCAGGCTGATTTATTTTATTAGTAACATCTGTTATAGCTTTCTACATTACTGTAAATTAAATTTGGTATAACTGTTATTCTTTTTGGTTAAATGGTAAACTTTCTTTTATCGTATTTGACTTTGTTCATTTATTTAATACACTTTTATCTATGTTGTGGCCATATTTACCAGCCATTTTAAAACTAATTAAAATTAATAATGCAGTCATAACAGTTTAAACATAATTTGTCATACGAAAAATATTAATTATAGAGCTAAAGGAATGCCTTATCTTAGTTATCTGGCATCAGTTTTGTAAACATCCTACAAAATAATAATAACACGGAGTAAAAAAAATACTGCACAATTATTGCTCTTGATTCTTGAAAATAAGTGAACTGTTATTTATTTAAAGGTGAAAGCAGTGGAGAGGCGACGACCTCGTAAAGATGAAAGATTGCCAAATTCAGGGACTTCTCCTATGAGTACAACGTCCGGTTTATTCGAACTGGTGTTCCATTTGAAACAAGAGTGTGTCACAAAGCATTTATAGCTCTGTTTGGAATCACAAACAGGAGGATTCAAACTATAAAACCTGCTCTGTCAAAGACTACTAAGCTTCATTTTATTTGTTATAAATCTAAATGTCGCAAGGGTTGTGAAATAATGCTTAGTAATTGGTTACTCGTTTACTTTTTTTTTAAATGTAACCTAAAAACAAAAATTATGTAGGCTTATGCTGTGTTGATTTTTTGAATAATAATATATTTTAAATATTGTTGGTTTATCTGTTTAACACAGGAAATCCACCTGTAGACATGAGATGGAGACATTCAAATCAATCTCATCGACTGAAGCCAGAAGAGTTGCAAGCAGTGATTGACCATATCTGGTACTTCCGTGGTAGAAAGTCACACTATGCCATGGGTGCTACAAGAAGAATATACTTGCCAGAGGACTTAAATGTTGCAAAGATGCGTCAAATGTTTGTAAACACTTACCCTGCACATGAAGTTTCTTATGAAAATATAGACATATCTTTAACACTACATTTAATATTGGATTTGGATATCCAAGAAAAGATACATGTAATGTCTGTGATGAGCTGAAGCAGAAGATGTTACATGCAGAGTCAGAAAACAACCCAGAAAGTGACAGAATGAAGACAGAATTGGAACTTTATCAAAGAAAAGCAGCAACATTCTACAAAAGAAAATGCAAGGCGAAAGAGCTTGCCCGGATAGATAGTTCTACAGAGGCAGTCGTTTTCGATTTTCAGAAAAATTTATGCGCTCACAACAAAACTTCCAACGCTATTTATTGCAAGCGTCAACTGACCTGTGTCTTGTTTAATGTCCACGTGCTGTCAACAGATGATATATACTTCTACCTTTACGATGAAACTGTTACCTAAAAGAGTGCTGATGATGTGTGCTCCATACTTTATCACTTCATAGACATACTACATACCCACAAGTAGTGACAAGACTGGATTTGTTTTGTGATGGGTGTGCAGGGCAAAACAAGAATTATACTCTACTTAGATTTATGCACTGGTTGGTAAACAGAAAAAGGCGATTTGAGCGCATCTCAATCCGGTTTCCAATTCGTGGTTACTCGTATCTTGAATGTGACGGTGACATGGCCCTTATCAAACAGTCAACAGATCTGGATCTTCCCAGCCAGTCGGTTCAAGTGTTCAGGAATGCACGTGTTGAGCCATTTCCCTTTACAGTTACATTTCCCTGTGACCAGATTATGTTCAAGACATTCAAAGATTTCCTAAAGCCAGGCTACAAAACATCTTGTCCCTTTAAAACAAGACCTTTACGAGAAGTCTACATTGAAGCCTCTCATCTGCAATACATCAGCTTTAGAGATTCCTGGAACGGCACAATTAAACTGCAGTTGTGACATTAAGACCTAAACATAAACAAACAATCAACCCTTTGAAAACAAGAGTGTTTATATACTGCCCCAATACCAATCAGTTGTAAGAAATTCAAGGACTTGCAGTGTCTGAAAAAACTATGCAATCCTGTAAACCAGGAATTCTACAACAATCCAGTTGTTGGACCCTCTGATTGTGAAGATGGTTCTTCAACAAACACGTCATTTTATGCTGATGATTGAATCAATGAGTCTATAATTATG